ATCTGCAGTAGAGAAGCTCGATTGAAACCACTTGAATAAAAGCCGTGCCGAGCTGGTTCGAATTTGAAAACCGAAGCACTAAGAGCACGAGAGGATTGTGTGTTCGATTGTGTGGAAAGTGAAGGCTTCAGCTCGGGATTCCAACAGGTCAATACTGCACGAGTGGGAAAGCACACTGGTGGCAGCAGCAGCAACATGCTGATGATGTTTACCTGCTGCAAGAGTGACGAGGAATGTGAGAAGGAGACATGCAGCTGGTTCATGTACGGCTGCATGAGAAAAACTATCAGGCAGAAAAGATTTGTTCTATTTCAAAATGCAAAACTTTCCTTCCAGGTTGGTAGGCACCAAAGCAGGAACCAGTAAGAGGGATTAGTGGACGTGTGTTTGACTGACCTGACATAATGGCTGATAAACACCTAAGTAGGATTTGGGACATATTAGGCCTGAGCATGATCGCCTTCCCTCGCTGACCTGTGCTTGAACTCCATTTAAAAGTCCTCAGCTCCTTTTTAAAAAGGACTCTTGCAGGCAGAGTTTGGGGCCAACCTGCTATGTTATGGTGAGCTGCTCCAAATCATGGGTGGGACAAAAACTGGAGGCTAGTGCAGCTGACAGAAGCTGAGAGCAGTAACCCATCCCTGTTCATGCACAGCACTGGAGTTTCTTCTCTCTTTGACATGACTGCACATGCCCCAAGACCCTACAATATGTGAAAGAAACCAAAAGAATCACACAGCCTGCAGTGAACAAGCACCCGGTGACCCCGGGGTGTGTAAAACTCCCTTTGACAGGAAGAAACCTTCAACAGAATCAAGCTCAGGGAGGCGTGAGGATAAAGAGCAGAGAGCATATAATAGTGCACTACCTGGTGACTAGCTATGGTTATGGTTATAATACTATGAGCACATTAGCAGAGCAAAGATGCAGGATGAGCATTAATGTTTTATCGCCTCAATAAAACTGTGAGGCAGAGACAAATGCAGTCATACTGCAGGGAAAAGATGCTGACGATGGGCCAAACTTCACTCGAGAGCACGTCCGTGATCGTCCATCCACAGCAGGTTAATCATATAATATACCATACAAATCCTAAACTGAGGCGTCATCCACACATTCAAATCTTAGTTGCATCAGAGTCTTTCTTTTCTGGACCATTTAAATATTTGGTGTCTGTTCAAACTGTGGGCTCATGAGCTTAGAGGTACAATGCACATTAACAAAGAGGCCTGCAATAATCAAAGATTATTTGTAGGAGCTTGTTTCTATTAAATAAAAAGACACAAAACATTTCAGTACCTCCAATGAATGGAGTAGGAGTTTGGAGCCACACGGTGGCAGCAGTGTAAAGGACAGAGTTTACTTTGGTATCCTGACGGAAAGCTGCTGATGGATTTATCACACGGTCAAACTGATTTGATTTAATCTTCAAACTGATGGACAGTGTCAGAGCTAAGTGCACTGAGTGATCTGGAACAAACATACAGTACAAAGCTCTGACATGCAGCAGTCACATTGCAAACTAGCTGTATTACTCAGGGTGCCAAAGGAAACTCATTAATTGGCAGGTTGAACCGTTTTTTTGTAACATTTGTTTCTTGCAGCACAAAGTTTCTGTGGCAGTGAGCAACGAGCCACTTGAGGGAATTTTGTGTTATTTCCAACTCGCTGACCAGACTTTATTTATCATTTAAACCCTAAGTACACCTTTAAAACTGTGAATAATTGAATGATGAACTCAAAAAGATAAAAACATGAGAATCAGAACCAACAACTGCACGTGTTAAACTGTGGCCTGCTGAATCCTCCAGGAATCATTCAAACTTTATTTTACTCCAAAATGAAGTCGTGTGTTTTTAATGCTTTTCTAAAAGTCCTTTAATTTTTTATTTGTCTTGAATCGATGGTTGACAGTTCAGCATGGTAACATTATCCTCTCAAACATTCAGAGCTTAAATAAATGAACTGGCTCTTACACGGCAGGTTTTTACACTCAAAGCTCTCTACACAACATCTCTTATTCACCCATTCATACAAACACTTTTTTCTACACAAATCTAACATTCACACTCATTCATCAGAGAGCAGCTGATCTGCAAACTGTAGACCAGAGCAGCAGGGACCAAACCTCCAACCTTCGATCTCCTGAACTACAGCCACCTCCAAGTGTTGCCGAACACTCAGCGCTCCCTGGTATGGGATGTTCTCGTGAAACACTGGCCTCCTACACTGTGTGCACACTTTGGGTGGTTCAAAATGAGTGTTCTTCATCATCTATAAACGATGAAGAAACTTCTATTGGTTTATTGTCTGTGTCAGGACTTTGGTTTATCTTCCTTTTACCTTCAGCTCATTAGTGGCTCAGTGCAAAATGTGGCTACCAGGATATAGAAGCGCATAGGTGTTTGAAACTTTGCTGCCATTTTTAGACATGATGTTTGACAACCTTGTGCTCCAACTCAGATGTTGTAGAAAAAACTTCATGACTGTTCTCTGATTTTTCCTCTTAATAAGTCCATTACACTTATTTTCCTTCTCTTTTAAATTTCTGTGGAAGAGAGCCAGAGATTAATAACAAGTGTGATTGAGTGCAGAGAGGTCTATTAACACATAGTGAGTGAAGAAGAAACACCCAATGCATCATGGGAATCCCCGGCAGCCTACGTCTATTGCAGCATAACTAAGGGAGGATTCAGGGTCACCTGGTCCAGCCCTAACTATATGCTTTAGCAAAAAGGAAAGTTTGAAGCTTGAAAGTAGAGATAGTGTCTGTCTCCTGAATCCAAACTGGAAGCTGGTTCCACAGAAGAGGGGCCTGAAAACTGAAGGCTCTGCCTCCCATTCTACTTTTAAATACTCTAAGAACAACAAGTAGGCCTGCAGAGCGAGAGCCAAGTGCTCTAATAGGGTGATATGGTACTACAAGGTCATTAAGATAAGATGGGGCCTGATTATTTAAGACCTTCTATGTGAGGAGCAGGATTTTGAATTCTGGATTTAACAGGAAGCCAAAACAGGAGAAATCTGCTCTCTCTCTCTAGTCCCTGTCAGGACTCTTGCTGCAGCATTTTGGATCAGCTGAAGGCTTTTCAGCGAGTTTTAGGACTTCCTGATAATAATGAATTACAGTCGTCCAGCCTGGAAGTAATAAATGCATGAACTAGTTTGTTAGTCATATCATCAGTGACGGACTAAATGTGTGAGTTTAATACTGGAACAACATTCAAAAAGTGAGGGCCGGCTTGACTGCAGTGAAACAGACTCTGTGCCTGTTTCTATAACCCGACAGTATCTGTTTGAGGCCACAGGAGGGTTTGTCTTGGCACAGATTGTTATTAAATCTGATATCATGACGATCGCGTTGAGCATTCATTATGTCTTCCTGCACAAAATAGCCACACTAACTGAATATTATAAATCCTGTCTTGGAGAAAAACCACAAGAAAAACCCCCAAAGTGGTGCAGCATTCTGCCAGCACTACACCTCTGGCTGTGTTATAGGCACACAAAGTTTTTCTTTGTAACATTACTATTTGAATACTGTGTAAATGTTTTGAACCACCTTGATTTCTTTAAATGGTATCATCTTTCTTCAGCAAGTCGATGAACTAGCTTTGATGGCAAGCTTTCCTTTAGCTTCAGAGGATGAGAGGAGAAGAGGCAGCTGTGCAGCAAAGACAGAAAAACTCCAGCTTTGTGTCTTTTTCATTGTAGCTGAAGTCCGGGACAAACTGCTCCTTTTCAGCTACCAAACGCATAATATTTTCTCTGAATACGGGATGATTCCGTTTTTTCCTGAATCCTTTATCATCAGCAACTGAAAATAGTTGTGGATGATCACTATACCTTTCTAATGTGATGTTGTTGTCCCTGCCTCTCTCTCTCTCCCTCCCGCTCCGTTCCTGTGCTACTGACTGTAACTACCCCCCTCCCCCCTCTTTAAAACCTCAGAGGACTTTGAGCTCCATTTCTCTGGGTGTGTCTATGTGCACACCCAGGAACTTGAAGCTGGACACTCTTCCCACGCACTCCCTGTTGATGCCGATAGGCTGCAGCTCAGACTTCCTCCTTCCTCCTCCTGAAGTCGAGTGTGGCTTTGTTCTCAAGTTATCACATCATTGAAAAAGCACCGATGGCCAAAAAGAGAAAATTAAACTTTGAAAGGCCGCTGAAATCCTGGAGACATGTTGCTCAAGACCACTTATAAAGTTACTACGAAGGGTTGGCTGCAGCACAGCAGGCAGCGCAGCTCTCCTACTAACCAGAAGGTTGGTGGTTCGACCCCTGCTCCAGTCTACATGCCAAATACACTTGAGCTGTGTGTGGAGAGAGAAAGCACCTATGCAGAAAACTCATGGGAAAGGTGTTTGGAGTGCTCAGGTAGAAACTGCACCACCACAATGAACGTCTCGCCTTCATTATTAGATGTAAACTCTACCGTGGTGGAGCACAGAGGTAAACTGTCCATGTGTGGGGACAACACTCACAGCGATGCAAACGTCTGCATGAGAGCTCTCATTTTAAACCGTAGTCCCAATGACAAGAACAACGAAATGAAATACAGCGTTTTCTTTTTTCCAGGATTTATTTAACATGTGCAGTATTCACAAATATCCAACTGTAATTCGTAGGATGACGGTTCCATAACACACGGGCTGGAGACGAATAGCTGGGCCAAACCTGCAGTCTGAATTGATAAGACTAAGCTAAGAAGTGCATTGAATGTATCATATAAATAAGTGGCCACAGTGAGTTAGTGCTTTCAGAGGAATACATTTATGTGGTTCAGGTAACTTTAAAGGAAGAAACCATCTTTCTGTGCTGCAGACTGCCGATGCTTCCCTGCACAAAGGATTCAGGCTGAAGCTCCTCCTGAGCCACTTCCAGCTACACTCGGGAACTTTGATACTTCTTGGAAAAAAAGACTTTTAGCAGATTTTTTCCCTTAACGGTTGCTGTGGCAACCTACGGCGCCTGTGTGGTACCCAAACCCACAGCATTTGCGTAAGCAGACAGCAGATTCACTACCTGCCTAGTTTCCAGTGTGAGTCTGGCTTCAATAAGCCAGTCCTCCACTACTCTCCTGGCCTCTCCTCTCAGCTGGTTCACCAGTTTAGCTGCTAACTCCAGGTCCCCGTGCTCTAAGCAGTAGCTAGCATATGACAGAAGCTTGAATGGATCTAAATCCTCAGAGCTCAGCTGGCTAGGCGGAGCTTCCTGACTCTTCTCAAACAGCAGTGCAGCTTGAAGGTAGGACAAGAAATACTGATACAAGGAGTTACGAGATTCATCGATGAGAGCGACGCGGCGGGCCAGCGATCGCAAGGAGTTGAAACGGGCACGGAGAGAGGCCTCGCTGTACACGCCTCGCTGCAGGGATTTCTCCGGAAGAGCCGACGCCAGCGCCAAGGCAAAGTCGTTGTCTCGGCAGCTGTCGCGAACAGCCTGAGCGGCGTTCTCCAGAGGCACAGTGGGCACGTCGGCTTCAGCAGTCTTTAGGGAGTAACTGAGAGCCTCCACAGAGAGCCACAGCTGGTGGGCCTTACGAGCCTCGTCCTCTGCTACCACGTGGCCTGTGTTCAAAAGACGAAGAGATTTACATGACCGAGTGGAAAAGAACGTGTCTGTGTGCACGTGGACATCCAGTCCCTTTGCACACCAGAACCTGACTTTTAATATCACAGGAAAAAAATTATCCAACATTCATCTACACACATCATCATTCCTACATGTGGTACTGCTCTGCAGCACTCCAGATAACAACCTACCCGACTAATCACTCAGTGCTATTTCTTTGCTTTTTTGGATGCGTGTATCTCTTACTGTCTATAGCTTCTTCCACCCCCTTCAGCCTCGCGTAGGCTGTGTTCATGTCCAAAGTGAAGTTGTCGAGCTGTTCCTGGGTCAGCTGACGGTAGCGAGTCTCCTGTTCCAGCATCTTACTGCTCAGTACCTGAACACAACCAAAGCATAGCTCTGAAGGGCTGAAGGATGAAAAGCACACAGCGTGCAACTCGCAGGAACAGACTACGCTGCTGCAGCCTGACTCGTCTCAGGTGTCTTGGCCACGCCCCCTTTACAGGATATTAGTGGAAAAAAGCTTAAGATATGGCAGAACACAAGCTGTCAGCTTCCCGTATACAGCAGCATGTTTATTCTATCCTACGCTATATCACAGACCTCCAACAAAGCAAAGGCCATCAGAGTAAACACAAAACAGTTTAACACGTTTACTGAAGACAGAAGGTTTGAGAATAAAGAAATGATCCAGAGCAGCATCTTTGCTGCAGATGTCAGTAAGCTGTGGTCATGGTAGCGTTGCAGCATGAAGGAAGTAGCCCTTCTTGTAAGTGCCAAGTCCTTTCAAATGCACTTACAATGTTTCTAACAGCTCAACAATTATCAGCTGAGCTCAAGGTACAAGAGAAAAGATCAGTTTACTCAGAAATGAAGAACGATGCGAGAAACAGGACGTGAGGAGAAACAAAGAGGGTTTTCAACCAAATACATTCATTACAATTCAAATGTGAGGTGAAGCAGAGTTTGGATTCTTTGTATTAATAATAGTTTATGGCAACAATGACACAAAGAGCTGTTTCACTTTGAGACAGTTCAAACATCTTCTGGACTGTTTTTACTTTTAGCATTTTGTGCCACTGTTAACGTCTATTAGCAAACTTTCTGTAGGATGTTTGTCAGACAGCCAGTGCAAGCTGGTTTTATGGATTAAGTAACTTAACCAAGCAGACCACGTTTTATTCAGTATATATTTAGTGTTTACTCTGGTTGCTTAGACGCTCCAAACCTGGCAACTCAGAGCCACTAATGTCCTGTAAGTACTCATTCCTGATGTGTAAGCAGACTCTGGGGTAGATCACCTGCTCAGCCTCAGCTTTCAGCTCGTGCTCCTGGACTTTGAGCACATCTTGGACGTGGTCTGTGTGAGCTGCTGCCTGCCGCCGCAGCTGAGTCCTCATCTCTGCCTCCATCACTTCTCTTAACTCAGCCAGCTGCGTACACACAGAGGAAATCGTAACACGTTTTAGATACGCTCACGTTAACTGAAAAACCAGAACAATCTAAAGATATTTTTTCCTGCACCTTCCTCTCCTGGTCCAGCCGGGAATCTTCTTTGACATGTTGCAGGGCAGTGTTGACAGCGTTGTCCAGAGCTTTCTGGTCCTCGAGTTTCTGTTGCTCCAACGCTGCATCAATGTGGATCTTCTCTCTGACCTTCTGCTCAGCCAGCTCTCGGTTCAACTGGTCAATGCGACGATGTGCATGGGCGATCAGAGCGTTGAGGTCGTCTGTGGACAGTTTACCAGCTAACACACAAAAACAAGTTATCATTGAAAACGTACTTCCTGATCAGCACATAGTTTTGAATGTATGAAAGTAACTAAGAGTTACGGTGACATGCAAGAACGTGAGGTTTTGACTGTAAATGCACATTTCAAAAACCCCGTGGATGTTCAGACGGTGGACTTAGAGCCACCAAACGTTAGCTAACAAAAGACGCACAGAGCTTAAACAACATATTAGATTGTGATCCGATTCTATTTGACGTGCCTGTCACGAATGATACAGGTTATACTGATGTTATTAGTACTGAAACACTAATCATGTGTTGCTGTAGCCACAGACACTGAACGTCGCTCTAAAACCTCAACATCAGTATGGAAACCTAAATATTGCTCCTCAGAGGGGAAACGTTGTCACATTCTTTCACTGTACTGTCATCCATGTCAGCAACACAATGAGTGTCCTAATGCATGCTTAATAATCTGGGAAAGTAAATCCCAGACAGCTGATTCTGTTCTTCAGGACATGCCTCGCTCAGTTTATTATCGTACCAGCTGGGAGAGGGTGAAGGCGGCAGCATGACAGACAGCTTCAGCCACACAAACAACCACATAATAACATGAACTGAGGCTACAGATCACGACTAATAACACTGCGCTGATGTTAGAGACCTGGCTTTATTCATCCATCCCAGACACCAGCTATGGCTAGCAGGCTACACGTAACATCTCTGTGGTTAGAGGCCTGAGGCTGCACGTGCACGTCGACCATCTGGGAGTCGAGCAGGTGCTTAAAGGTACATCTGTCACCGTCTTACAATGCTGTGATTGCAGCCCTTCCACCAACTCTGTCAATCGTACTCATGGCCATTCATCACTACACATGACAGTTTCCATATTAACACTCATGAAACTGACCTCAGGCCCATCGTTAGTCCGATTAGCGACCAATGAAAACACAATGTCCAGCTGAACAAATCGAATCAAACTTTGTGTGTGTAAAGACACGTGTTTGAGTGTGTATGCGTGCTCTTACTGAGCCCTTTCCAGTTGGCCTGGATCTCTGGAGTGAGACTGCTGACTTCCCTTTGAAACTGTCGTTTGGCTTCGTTAACCAGTTCACTGTACTGGGAGACGATCTTAGCCTCTGACTCTGCAGACTGAACCTTTAGTTGGTAACATTTGTTAGCAGAAGAACAGAGAGGTGTGAATAGAAAAGGACGAGTTAATAATCATGACAGTGGTGAAGATAACACAGCCAACACTAACTGCACATAGTGCTGGTCACTAGAGTTTAATAGGTCACACCACACACATGCTCACAGGGTGTGGGCAAAATGATAATCGTATTTCTGATGACAGAGAAAAGGAAACATTTTATCGACACTCACAGCTTGCAGGCAGCAACATTTGTAAGGAAATGAGGAAAATCAAAGGCATTTTGTATCCTTGTTTTAAAATGAGTGTGTATCTACTGAAACAAGGCGCTGCCAGCAGTGCAAAGTAGTGATACAGTATTATATCCAGTCATATCTCAGCATAGAAGGAGCCTACGTAGCGCTCCCATCACATGGACTGGAGCTGCAAATATAGCTGCTGGGTTGAGTCACCTCCTCACAAGTTTTCTTGCCTATTTTACAAAGTACTGTGCTTTGATGCCAAGGTAGCTCTTATGTTTGGTACTGGCCAACGGAGGCTAACGTGCTGCTGTCACTTTCATTCAGTTTACAGCTGAGAGGTGCAAATGTGAACTTGAGCCTCAGAAAGGAAGCAAACAGGTCACTTTAATCTCCTGTAGTCGTCCACAATGCACCAAAAAAAGAAAACAAACTTTACCTTCATGGCCATTTTGTCCAAGTCCACAACCATGTTATGGAGATTCTCCTCTGCTGCTAAAACCAGCGGGCGAACAGAGGATATCTTCAGCCCTTTGGACTCGTCAATCACTGACCTGAGACTGTCCAAGGACTCGCTGCAAGGAAAGACATGTGCTGATAAGGAAGACTGCCAAAATAATTGAGTTAGGCAGAGATGTACACGGCACGCTGCACTCATCACAGCCCTGAAGGCTGAGTGATTATTACATCTTTCAGATTAACCTTGTGCCACACTGGTCATCAGAATTAAAGAAACACTTTCACTCCAAGCAGAAGAAATCACAATTTAAAGAAAGAACATTTATGATTTTCAAGCTAAGTGGAAAAGAAAGAATTCTTCTTCACACACATTCAAGTTTGTAATAAGTATGTTTGTGTGTGTGTGTGTGTTTGTGTTACTTGGCTTTCGACAGAGCGGCTCTGGCATCGTTCAAAGCCGTGGTTCTATCAGCAAGAGCAGCTTCCAGGTCCTTCCACTGGTTTGACTTCTCCTCAGGAAGAACCTAAGTTTAAGAAGAACTTCGATAAATCTACTGCAAAACAGTGACGCTTCCCATTCAGTGAGCCTTAAACATTACTAATACAGCGCTGTGGTGGGTGGACCACACAGGCCACAGCAAGCAATGTATCTGATTAAAAACAAGAGTACGCAGGTCTTCAGTGACAGCGCTGCTGTGAGACGATGCAGACGAGCCCAGTCCAGTGGTCTGCAGGACATGTGGGCTTGAGGCAAAGATGGAGTCCTGCCTCATTCATCAGCCTCGATGGAGCGTTTGCAGGTGTGAGCTGGGGATGTCAAATAGATACATAGAAACATTCATGTGGAATTGAAACATATGGATACTTATTCGCAACAGTATCCATCAGACAGGCAGGCGGACAGCAGCTCCACCCTCACCATCAGCTGTAGTAGCAACACTGAACATTTACTGCCATCAGATTCTGTTTAGCAGTTATTAGAAATGTTTCCCTGACCAGCGCACATGTTACCATTAGTCATTTAATGTAAGGTAATACTATTACTTTGTTACTCTATTGAAGTAGGTATGTGTACTTTACTTGAGTATTTAATTTTTACTTATACTCCCTACATTTTGAAATAAATATCTGTGCTCTTTAGATTTACCAACAGACTCATCTATAGTTTATACTCCGAGGTTAGCGGGCAGGAGGCGTGCAGGTATCTGTGCTACAGAAAAGGAAGCATGAAGTGTGCAAGTGGTCCCTGCATTAGTGGTTAGATCTGTCCCGACAAGAGTTACACAGAAACCAAACAGACTAAACCAGAGCTGTGAAACACTAAAGAGCTGTGCCCAGAGATTCTACTGTACTCTACTGAAAACAATCTGAACATCACAGGCTTCCTTCAGCCACACCAGCACACCGTCACTCTCCCTCCACCCTGCGGCCTTTGGCTCAGAATCAGTCCATCACAGACGGTCCATTTACAAAAGTACTGGACGCTCAGCTCCCAGCAGACTGACCTACTGTATGAAAACCCCGGGGGACTTCCTTCTCGAGTTAACACATTCACCACAGAACACTGGACTAAGTTCAAGGACTCAAACTCGTCCCAGGTTTTTAGTAGATGGACCGACAGTATCCAACGTCGCCTTCAAGCTGAGGGGTAAAAAAGGCCCTAAAGGGCACGGTGGCCTGCTTTGGTTTTCCAAAAGTACAATCACTGATTTGTACTTCATGTTACATTTGGAGTACCAGCTGAGCACAGTCCCCATTTGCTGGGGGTATTAAAACATAAAGGTTGGCACATGCCTTCCTTATGAAGTGCTTGCTGTTTACCTCTGCTTCCATAGCCTCCTTCAGTTTGTCTGTGTGCTGCATGATAGCCTGCAGGGCTGCTTCTTGCGCTCCTATGGCCTGCAGAGTAGCTTTGGCTGAGCTCGCCAGTGAGTCTTCAAGACTGGCTGATACCGCTGCAAAGCAATCACACAGGAAGACAGAGACATTTACTGTCTATAAAATGACACGTCATTATTCAAGTGGTCAGTATGCAACGACGTCACTCTTTGTGTGTGTGTGTGTGTGTGTGTGTGTGTGTGTGTGTGTGTGTGTGTGTGTGTGTGTGTGTTGCTGTCATCCTACATGCTGAAATATCCTGTTCCTCCTGCTCTTGTTGAGCAAGTCTAGCAGCCACTTCTTCTACTGGACGCTCTTTCATTGGTTCTGTGGGTGCAGGATGGACCGCTGTCGCCTCCTTGTGTTCATGGCACTCATTGCACTCTTCGAGAGAAAACACACAAACACAGACCTAAAACAACCCCAGTAATCCTCGAGACTGCTGGACTTTCAGCCATGAAAGAACATGAAGTGCTATTATTGTATGTTCACACCACGAATGAAGGTTTTGCAAAACCTTTGCAAATGTAGATGCCTCAGTGACACTGCACGTTAAAAACGTGCAGATTTGCTTCTTGCTTCATATTCTGTCTCCGGCATTAAATGAAAACTACCGTAACTATTTACTCAACCTGGGCTATTGCACAAGTTAACTAGTCTCCATCCATGTTTCACACAACATGGAGAACTCATGGAGACCAGCAGGTTTGATGCACAATCAAACCTTCTTGCTGTGAGGTGCAAATGCTAATCACTACCATCATCCTGACCAACATAATAATCATATGTGTGCTACATTTTGCAATGACTATTATTTTGTTTGTTTCAACATTATGAATTTAATCGTGAACGTCTACAGATCCACAACAGAAAGCATCCCCTATTGTGGAAGCTTGTAAGTGTAAACAGAATTGGTCCTAGCACTGAACCCTGTGGAACTCCATAATTAACCTCAGTGTGTGAAGAGGACTCTCCATTTACATGCACAAACTGGAGTCTATTAGATAGATATGATACAAACCACTGCAGCGCAGTACCTGTAATACCTACAGCATGTTCTAATCGCTCTAATAGGATATTATGGTCGACAGTATCGAACGCTGCACTGAGGTCTAGCAGGACAAGCACAGAGATGAGTCCACTGTCAGAGGCCATAAGAAGATCATTTGTAACCTTCACTAAAGCTGTTTCTGTGCTGTGATGAGCTCTGAAACCTGACTGAAACTCTTCAAATAAACCTCTGCAGATGATCTGTTAGCTGTTTGACAACTACTCTTTCAAGGATGTTTGATATGAAAGGAAGGTTGGAGATTGGCCTATAATTAGCTAAGACTGCTGGGTCTAGAGATGCTTTTTGAGTAAAGGTTTAACTACAGCCAGCTTGAAGGCCTGTGGTACATAGCCGATCATTAGAGATAGGTTGATCATATTTAAGATTGAAGAATTAATTAATGGCAGGACTTCTTTGAGCAGTTTTGTAGGAATGGGGTCTAAAAGACACGTTGATGGTTTGGAGGAAGTAATTATTGAAGTTAACTCAGTAAAGTTTGAGAATTATACCACGGAGTCAGGTACTTCTGATTAGAGACCTTAGTTTTCACAGGAGCTACAGTATCCAGAGTCGTACGTAGTGAGGAGGTGAAATTATTAACAAGATAATCGACCTCTGTTGGAGCAGCGTTCAGATAGCTGCTCTGCTCTGTGTTGGTACAGGGCATTGAGATGATAACAGTGGGTGGATTATATTCTTAAACTTAGTTACAGCGCTTTCAGAAAGACATCTACTGTGATGAAGTTACAGGTTACATGTATTACGAGAGTCGTTATTACTAAAGGAAGCCGACTAACTAAACATCTGAGCAGGAAAGTGCAGGAGAGAACGGTCAGTCGACTACAGACTCTGGATAAAGCACGTAAAGACAACATATCAATATTTAATTCAATTGGCTAAAACACTGCTGTGCTTGTAACAGGAACAGGAAGTGGTACTCTACTGCACAGAGCGCCAACACCAAGTCCGAGCTCCACCCAAAGGAGAGGATTTAATCGTATATACCATGTGCCCACTGTGGATTTGTCTGTGGTTTAGATACTGGCTCTTCTAAGCTGCCGCCCAGAATTTTGCTTTGTGCTGCATAATGACAATAAAGAAGGACAGCAGAGCGTGCAGTGGTCAGCACTGTAGCCTCACAGCAAGGTCCTGTTTCAGTGATGATACCTTTGACTGCTGCTGCCTCTGTGTCACATGGAGCAGGGACTGATGGGACCTCACCGATGGCTGAGATGATATGAGTCGCCTCTGCTGAGGCCTCTAAATGGGACACAAATACAGAAGGCAAGAGCCGCTCAGGAGCTTCCATGTGTGTCACCACGCGCAAAGCCACTCATACACATAGTAAAGACCATCCATCGACTGGTTTCATCATCACTTCAGCTTCAGCTACAGTGAGGTAGTATTTATGGCAGCATAATGGCTTTAAAGCTATCAAAGATACAATGACTGCTACAAACTAAGAAGCCTAATAGCAGTGCAAAATGAAATTTCACATGGGAGCAGAGCAACAACAGGAGAGTATAGGAGAAGACAGCTTACCCTGAGAGGCTTCTGCTGGGGCTAAACAACAGAGCGCACATTTACAAACATCTCAAAGAAGAACGGGTGGAGCTAGCAGCTAACAGAGCACACCGCCCCCCCAGAGTGGAGAGTTTGCATCAGCAGATATTAAATGTTGGCTCGTCCCAGAGACATTTACAAGTGAGGCTGATTTGAATGAACTTGAATTAAAATAATATTAACTTCATAATGTAAATAATGATATTACGGCACTGTCGAGATGGCTGATGATCAGGCTGCCTCTGGTGAACACTTTCATGAAACAACTGCATCCTTTGAACACCATCACAGTGGATTTTAAATCTAACTGTCAAGATGAGACTGAAGTGATGGAAGCTGAAAATCCTTCCAAGTCCATCGCTGCCTTTAGTGTAGAATCCACGGACGTCACAAAACGCCACCTTTGGTTTTGCAACTGAAAGCGTGCTCTACAAGAGTCAGGTGACCAACTTTATACTATCACAGATTCCTGGTGCTATTTCAATCAGCAGTTACAATGTCAGCAAAACTAGTGACCTTGTACAGCACATTCCTTTACATGCATTATGAGGTGTCGCTAGATTTTCTTGCACGCTCAGTCGTCCAGGTAAAGAAATGTGGACGCAGCATCTTCAGTGTGTGAAAGTGGGTAAAATGCTCTCCCACTACGTTTTGACAGTCTACCTCTTCCAGGCTGTTCTTGTTTTTGCTAAATGTTGCACAGGGTGTCCCCTAACCAAGGAAGGACTTTTGCGATTACCCACTTTAATCCCTCTGTCCTACAGGCTTCTCAGTGTCGCTGAGGTCGCGAGTGCATTTCTTCTTTTAAAGAATTTACCAGGTTACTGACTCGGCCTCTCCTACGGTTGTTGCCAGCTCTCTCATACATCTGTTGGGTTTTCAGCGTAACGCTGGCCTCACTCACTGTACCAACATCACTTTGGAGCGCTTACTGCAAATTCCAGAAAAACAAACCAAACACAAGTCCAACTTTATCTGTTTCATCTGTAATGGAGTCCTTACAAACTTTGCCTCTGAACGTGGTTTATTAAGATATACAAGTGTCTATAATGAATAACTCAATAATCCAATACTAGTGTTAGAATCCTTGAAATGAAGCTGCGCTGGAATCACATCTTGGCTGAGTTCAAACCCACTGTGGTGGTGTACAAACACAACAGCCCCTTACTGTCACTGCACAGATGCAATGAAACTGTGGGCGCTCCACCCGACTACTGTGAACGAACTATAACAAAACGGAAATAGAAATAAAGCTGATAGAATCAGAGCACATGATAAAAGGCAGATGGCAACATGAAGCCATGAGTTATAATGACAGTGGGCGCCACACTTACCCTGTAGGCTCTGTGCAGGCTGACTGGGGGCGGGGCTGGAGTCTTTGACCGGACCCTCGGCTCCCTCCTTCTTCGCCGACTTCTTCACTTGTTTTTCTATCATAGAGGGCGGCTGGGCCAACTCCACCTTAACAGCAACCATTTAAATCGAAGCATACGTTATTACAGTGTGGTTCTAAAAATGTGGTTATTCTTTCTATACAAAAAAAAAAATTGTATTGTGTGGAAGCTTATTAGCTGATATCACCAATTCTGAGTCGAATTTTAACAGACACACACTGGAAAGGTGGAGGTATGGGGGCGGAGGTATGGGGGCGGAGGTATGGGGCTTCAATGCAGTCTGATCATTTGAAAAGCCATTGTAACGTACAGTGAATCCTCCTTAAACCATCAGATACTCACACATGGAGAGCCAGTAAAAGAAAAAATGTTCGACTTCAATTCTTCTGAACTGACGGTGAAACACAAACTTTGTGTCCTGTAACTATGACTAGGATGAGCTGAGCACCGTACCCGTTTCTTTATGGGGAGGCCAGGATCTTGGGCAGCGGGTCCCAAGGCCAAACCCAGCAGCCAGTCTGAGTACGGGACGTTCTTCTCAACCGCTGCTCTGAACTTATGGTCCCATTTGGCGTAGAGTACGGTCCCTCCAATGCCACCACTTACTGTCAGCAAGCCAGCAACAACCACTTTGGAAGCACTACTGAAATGAAAAAGGACAAGCAGACATGAATGAATGGACAGTCTCGCTAACGGCCTTTGGGAAGGGACGCTGCACTCTGTGTGTATCCTAGTTCAGCCGACTTGCATATAGTGATCTCAGGAGGAAAGCGATGCTGTAGAAGCGGCACGCTCTTCACTACGATAGCACTGAAGATCTTCTCTTGAGGATGAGAGATCCGTGTTTTGAAACGACAGGGAGCAGTCGCATGTAAACGTGGAGCCAGAGCGCAGCGGCCAGCGGGACACAGATTTTGGTGGCAGGCACAGCACATGTCGCATCCATGTGAGAGGCCCTTAAGAAGACAGCTGAAGCCCATGTGCTAGTCCTAAACAATTCATTAGTGTACTGTGTGTTGGTGTGTGAATGGGCTCATTGAGTCAGCACGGAGAAGATCTTGGAGAACGCACGGCTGCCGTGAACACTCAGAACAAGAGCTCTGAGTGAAAAACTGGATTACATCTGGAGGGGCTCGCTCGAATAACACCTTTGAGCGCAAATTGGATCACATCTTGGGGAAGTGCACTGCGGTCGGAGGTCTCAGAACCTGCTCTTTGAGCAAAAAGAACGACAACATCACGAACGTAAGTTTGATAACATCATAGAGAAGCTCGCGGCTCTCCAACAGGAGATTGAGAGACCAGTGTTGGACTGTAGAACTGCTTTGAAATTCATATGAGCTGTTCGCACTAAAGTAAAAAGCACCATCACTTCATGCGGATA